CCCTGTTTACATAGTTTGTAATTTTAAAATAGCATATAATCTAGTCAACGTCATGCTAGAGAAAAAACATTTGTGTTAAGAGAATAGAAGGATTAAAAATTGATGAAATCTATATTTCTAGATATTTTGAACGAACCTATTGTATTTCTGTGGGTATACAATGTAGAATAAAAAATATTTATTTTACCAAGTATTCTCTTATTTATATTCTGCAAGTACCAACTGGAAAATATGTTACATGAAATTGTTAAGGAATTTATAGATAGTATGTCAAAATACCATAAATAAGTGTCAGTAATCAAATGAAGTCTTTAAAAGGTACAAATAATAACAGGAAATATAAACAAATATATAGTCAAAAAAACATACCCAAAATGAAAAACTACAATAGTGAATTACAATAACCTTTAGTAACTTCAAATTTACTTACATAAAATATATAAGGTGTTTTCCAACTGAATGTCAACATTTAAGAGGGAGACTTTTGGTTCCATTTTAAGAAAAAAAATTCATATAATTGTATGTCATAAACGTCTTGACTTTTGAGAAACAGGGTGGTAAGCTTTTTAAAAATCAATCATTTTTTTGTTACGATCTGTAATATCACTTTAAATACCTTATTAAAATTCTGAATACATGTACTATCAAGAGGTATTTTTAATGTACGAATTTTGTTTTGATTTCCAACAGTGACGTTCGTAACGATTTCGCTTGCTTATTTTGACGGACAATGATAGTACTCAACTGATTTCTCTTAAAATGAAAACTTTTAATTGAAATCCCGTCATTTCTAGGCAAATTTGATTGCTTAATTTTTGTTCACTCCGATGCACGGTATTCGCTGACAAAAATAAAATAACATTTCTTTGCATGATCCTAATATCGTTAGTATGACAATGTCACTATGTCGCGAAATAGATTGTATTTTTCAGGTGAAAACCGTGCGTCAGACTAAATGAATTCAATTTTTCATGTCCGAACCACTATTTCCACATAAAAAATTCCCTGCATGGTGATATTGTCATGTTAATAATATTGTTGTGATCGTATTTATAAAAACCGTGCATCAGATTTAAAAAAAATCATTTCGCATCGATTTTTGCTTCGAAGTGATTGAAAATTTTAATAAGAGAGAAATAAACAGCATACAATCACTGTCTATAAAAACAGGCAGGTAAAAATTAGAAAAATGCCTCTTGACACGTTTACGTGTATGCCAAAAATATCATTAAGTGGTAATACGGATATTCATAATCAAAGATTTATTTTTTTGAGCTTGTTTACCACCCTGTGTTTCAAAAGTTAAAACTTTTAGGACATGCGATCATTTGAAGTTTTCATCTTAAAATGGACCTGAAACCACCCCCTAGATATGAACATGCAATTAGGAAACAAATTAAATTGCAGCTACCATACCTCAAGAGATAAATGTAGACTTTCGAGCAAAAAATTTTATATTTTTTTTACTGTGGCTATAATAACTAGCAAAATCTGCTGTTTATATGAGTGTTTCAAATATCAAACGTGTTCAGTTTTTGATATTCCTTAACAGTAAATGTTTTTCTTTTCTATGCCACAGTTATAATAGATTTTCTCTTTCATTTTAAGATTACAAGTCAATGAACAAATTGGAAAAGAAACTGTATTTAGCTGTCCTCACTTTTTCTTCGTATATCACATTCTACAATATTAATATATGGTGCAACACGTTTGATAATACAACATATTGTTCTTTGAGGCTCAGTGCATTGATCTCCTTGCTCTTGATGAGGCCACTGAAGTAATTTATACCCAGCAATTTAAATACAAATCAAATTCTGTACCTTAGAGGCAGGTTAGGTTAAGTCCATTTTGGCCAAAAATAAGTCTTACATGTTAAGTGTAGTTGTTTCAATTGTTTGGAGTTTGTTTAACAGGAAAGTAATTCCCTTGATGAGTCACAATTTTCATTTATTTCCCCATTCGTAATTAATTATGGAATTGTCATAAAGTTTTTCTGATTTTGCTTCATGCTGCAACTCTATTCTTCTGTTTAATCTCTGTAACACTTCATTTTGGTAATCCTACATGACCATGGCATTTTGAGCACCCTGAAATAGCGATGGTCAATAATAGTAATTATGATCTTCACATACACACATTATACATACTTGTGCCTGACACTCTACACAATCTAGAGTCCCACAATGATTGTGAAAAAGCATCTCTGACACCGACAATGCAATAATTGCACTTGCCATACAATGTTTCTTATCCATGGAGGAACCATCTCATAAAGTCTGTGAGAATGAATCACACGTGAAAATAATGCGATAAGTATATAATATGGATATGCAATGATTTGTTTTATAACTTACCAACCTTCATCAAGATAATAGCTTGGTTGTATCCATGTGCATTAATTTTCCTAACTCAACAATTTCTTGAAGATACCACAGGTTGTGGAATTTGTTCAATGTAGCGAGGTATTTTTGAGTGATCGAGATTATTTGCAAGAAAATTATAAATTATGGTTCTGCTTTCTGTTGAACCTCAAATCAACAACATAGCCTCAAGCCAGAACTGTCAGTATGTTGGAAATCAAAAGCAGGACATACATGTACGTTAACGAAGAAGACGTAATATTACCGAAATCAAGGAGGCCATAAAGGCTCCCTACATTGTAGGGACGACTGACGATACGATCCTAAAGAACTACATAACATACGTCAAGTGACGTTACGAGCGGACATCATTTTTGGTCGATTCCGAGCTTGAATATTTAATTAGTAGCGAAACTTAGCTGTTCTGTAAGTAGTTTTAGGTATATCAAGTCTGAGTAGGAGCCCCGCAACATATATGAGTGTCTCCCAAGGGGGCTTGCCCCTGGAAAGAAAAGGAAGGAATCGAAGGATTCAATGGATGCAATTATTGAAGATAATTCCCAGGTCGGTAATGATAATACAATTGACTATGATCTACAATCAGGAGTAATGCAGGTAGAACTTCCAACATTATCTCCCAAAAAGCAGATCGACCGCTTTTAACATATAAGCAGACTGATAAGGGCCCCTATCATGTTTATATCGAAAACAATGAACCAAATTTCTCAGGTAAATTAAATCCAGTTAAGGTTGGTGAAACTATTCTCAAAAATATTCCTGAAGTTGACAATATGATTAAAAGAATTGAATCGATTGGACGCAATAGGGTAAGGATTGTGTTCAAAAATCCATCAGCAGCAAATGTCCTGTTAAATAAAACGATTTTATTCAAAACTATCAATTTAGACGTTTATATACCCAAATTCATTTTATAAAGACAGGGTGTTATTTCGGTGGACAAAGACTTATCAGACGAATACTTGTTGGAGAGGATCAAACCTTTCGATTCTCACTGCATTTTCTCGGTGGATTCGGTTAAACGCATGCACCGGAAATCAGATCAAAATGGTGACATTAAATATCTACCTATAAATAAGGTTGTAGTTACTTTTCAAGCGCAAGAATTGCCTAAGCGTGTTGCTATAAATCACGTTCTTTTTGATGTAAATCATTATATACAGAAGGTAATTCTGTGTCATAACTGTATGCGTTATGGTCATTGGGTAAGCAATGTAGAAGCAAGCCTAGGTGTGCAAAATGTCACGAAGAACATGTTACTAGCTCATGCCACAACGACTCTTTGGAACAAAAATGTTTAATTTGCGATGGCAGTCACTACTCATTTGAAACCTCAAAATGTAATGAATTTGAGAGGCAAAAGGCAATTAAAAAGCATATGGCAATGACTAATTCTTCTTTTAGAGACTCAAACAATGCGGTCCCAAAAACCACATATGCTTCAGTTACCAAAAATAATCCCATTACGCCTCAAGAAATCAATAGTTCTAATCTTCCATCTCAGTCATCAAACACTCAAACATCAATAAATATTCCAAATGCGAATTCGCACTTTACACAAAGGTTGTCTAAACGTTTGAAACGGAACTCGCCTTCCTCGTCAGATTTGACAGAAGAAGCTAGGAGACAAATTATAAGTCAAATAAACACTCCACAGGTACCCTGGGGTATCACTAATAACCCCAGTTACTGTGTACATGAATTTAATACGAGAGATGAGACGTTCATCCAACATGTTTCAGAATTGGTTATATTTGTTCTTACAAATTTAGAGAAACAAACATCAACAGCTTGAATAAATCAACTATAACTAATCTCATAAGAGAAAGATTAAATAAAGACAAATAAGTTTAAGAATTAAGAAAATTACAGTATATTTTTAATCATTTTACACTTTTACCAACGTGTTCGTACGTTATGAAAACATAAAATAGAATCTATACAATGCATTTAGAAACCACAATGCATTTTTTGAGGATATGTCAATGGAATTGTAGATCGGCTATAGCAATAAGGTAATTTGGAACACCTCTTTAGAAGAACAAAATGTGGACATCGCACTTTTGTCTGAAACCTGGTTTAAAATGAATACATATGTAAAATTTAAAGGTTATAACGTTATCCGTCAAGACCGGACTGATGAGAAATAGTTTAAAATATTCTCAAATATCATTAGTTGCTTGTAATAAAATAATGAAAGTATGTTCTACAGTAAAGTTTCAAGGAATCTCAGATATTACATTCGTATCAGTATATATTAAACCACAAACCAAAATCACTAAATAGGAATGGATACAATTTTTTAGTTCCTTACCCAGTCCATGTATTATAGGAGGTGATTTTAATGCACATCACACTTCATGGGTTGTGCTCAGGATGACGTATTTGGAAAATCCTGATTGAAGCTCTAGATGACAGTAATCTCAGTTTATTAACAATGGAGATCCAACTTATGTAAAATATCAATCAAAATCAGCAATAGATCTTACATTATGTTCACCTCAAATCATCATCAGCTAGAATGGCGAACCTTGCCAGACCCATGTGGTTCAGATCATTTGCCTATACTTATCAATTGTAATTTACTCCAGAAAAATTGTCATTTGCATCAAATAGAAAATGGAACATAAACAAAGCTTGCTGGAATCAGTTTCTGTTTCGAGAGTTATAAATAGATCTTATGTAGAACCTGTTATAGATTACACCACTTTCATCAAAAATGTTAACCAGTCAGCTGAAGCTTCTATTCCGAAATATGAAAACAAAAATAATGTCAAGGAAACCATGGTGGACCAATGAATGTAATATAGCAGTAGAAAAACGTAAGGATAGTTTTAGGACTATATCAGACAAACCCAAACCTCGAAAACTTACTTAATTTTAAAATACTTGACGCGAATGCAAACAAATATTCAAAAAGGTTAAAAGAGAAAGTTGGCGTCAATATTGTTCATCTTTAAATAGTAACACCCCTCTTAAACAAATTTGGAAGCAAGTTAACTTGTATAAAAATAGGCGACAGAGTAATTATCATGTTATAGAAGCTTCAGCAGAGTGGGTACAGGAATTTCATTGTAAGCTGGCCCCAAATTATGTAAGCAACAACATCCAAAGAAGAATCTCAACGTGGACTAACCATGAACTGATGCAACCCTTTTACCTTGATAGAATTACAGAAAACAGAACAATACATCTCGGGAAGGACCCAAATTCATTATTCGATGTTATACCAACTACCTACAACACGAAACCATCGTTATTGGATATTTTCAATCAAATATATTGTGGGAATGCTGAAATACCGAAAGATTGGTACGATTATATAATTATTCCAATTCTGAAACCTGGAAAACCAGAACATCATCAAGATTCATATCGTCCCATTGCACTAGCTTCATGCGTTTTGAAAACTTACGAAAGACTC